TAATAAAGTACTAGAAATACAAAATACATCAAATTTTATACAAAAACGAACAAGAACATAGGCCATATAATGTTAAATTTTATGTGTTGTTATTATGTAGCATTTTGCATAATTAACAAAAAACATCATTCACAAACTTTTTTCTGGGTAGTGTGTATAACCAATCCTTTTTTAAAAAAGCTATAAAATTCATGACTAAAATCACTATTAATGCCATTATTATAAAACACAATTATTATCAATCATTTTTATTTTATTTTTGAACCTGCTGATGATAATTGTGATATTATATTAATTTGGAATAATTTGAGGGTGCATATTTTTTTTTCAAAAATTTGATTACATATAATGGAATGCTGCTTATAGCAGTTATCACTGTAACTTTCCACACAAATGTTCCAGTTAAGATAAATTTTAAATCTTTATAAAATAGATAAATAATTTAATAAATAAATTGACATTACCACAAATAGAAAAATAGTAAATTTGAAAAAATACAAACCGAAATAGGTAGGTAGAAATATCATTGAAATAATATATATAACCAATGTGATTATTTCTGACAAAATCATAAGTTTATGCCTTTTCAAAATGTAATTAATTGTTAATGGTTGTTTTTTTAAATATAAAAGAAATTTTTTTTTTTAAAGGTACCATGTATTAATCTCCAAAGCAACCATTAAAAGTTCATTGAGAATGAGTGCAGTAAAAGAGATTGAGACAATATTGACAAATTCATCTCCAAAAAGGAATATTGACATAATCATTATGGCACCACCTGTATGATATTAAGGTGATTGATTATCAATGAGAATATAAAGTTTAAAGATGCATTGTACTACCTTGATATACACTGATCATCACCCACTGAAAGAAAGTTTTTAAAGAAAGTGATCTCCCCTGTAACAACAAATAATTTATAAAAAATATTAATTTTTTAAGTCATTAATATTGTTACTAGCAAAAAAAACCAGATATAAGGCCCCAAGAGTTTTTTGAAAATTTTTGCTCCTAATCCAAGGATCAATGTTCTTAAAACATGAGGTTCAACCTTTTAACAGGGAAGTCTAGGTGGTTTGATGGTTATGACCCAACATTTTGCATCTTTATTTTAATTGGGGCCATGGTCACAGTAAGAGGTTTAACCTAGAGATCAATGGTGAGGTTGAACCTTACATCAATCCTTGGATTAGCTGAATTTTAGACCTTGTTCTTATATTATCAAAAACATATGTGTAACAGATTTTGCAAGAACAATTACTAAAAAAAATTATTTTTGCTATGTACCTTTGTTAAGTCTTTATACAATTCTGGAAATTGTAATGTTATGTCTTCACTCACATCTTTATCTAATACTAATGAAAAAACTGGTGCCATTGTATAAATAGTAGAGTATCCAACCATTAATACACCCTATAAGATTTACCAAACATTAATTAATTTTATAAATAAAATAATTTAAAAAAGATACTTACTTGATATAAAGCAATTGGTGCAAAGTAAAAAATAGAAGAAAATACTGCTTGCATAACTGATATTATAAGACCTCGGTGAATAACAAATTGAGAAAGTTTTGCTGAGCATTTATAACTATTTCTTCCATGCCAAACTATTGAAAACCCCAATTTTAACAATTTTAGAAAGGTATAGTATAGCAAAAACCTATATTTTCTTTTACTTACGTAATAATTTTGCTAAATAGCTAAATTGAGTTATTGAAACATCAGCTGCTAAAGAAGCTTGTTTTCCTTCTTTTCCTACAATGCCAACACCTAAAAGTTTTTTAATATAATCTGATATATATCAATTACCAAAATTTTAATTGCAATTAAAAACCAACTCACCAAGGTCAGCTGCTTCGATCATGCTAACATCATTACCACCATCACCTATGCAACAAACTCTCTTATTAGTAAATTTTTTAATGAGCCTAGTAATGTCTGCCTATTCATTAATTGATAAAAAGTATTATAAGTAAGTTAAAGCAATTTGATTGAATTATCAAATAATTAATTTAATTTAATTTATTGCGTTTTTTTTTTTTTTTTGGAGGTAGGTAAGGAGTTAAGATAATTGTTTTTTTTGTGTAAGTATAGTCTAATAGAATTTTAATTGCTTTTATAAAATTTTTAAAGCATGAATTGGTTTTTTTT